TCAGTCCTAGTTCCAGTATTAGCCAATGGGGTTAGCAAGTATGATTTTAAAGGGTATCCGGAATCACCTATAATAATTACATATTTCATACATTATTAGAAACAGACTGAATCTGCCTACAAATAACCTTACCTAGTAACAGAGAATTTGGAAAATAATTTCCTTCAATGCACAATTCATAAAAATGGTGGCATCATGTGTAGATCCCGGCCACCTTGCCACCAAATCCATGATTTTTAGGTTGCTATCGCAAACGACTTGAGTGTTAATGTAAAAATACCCCTTTCTGTTTCGGAAAACTTCGGGGTCCTCTCCTCCTTAAAATTTTATGAAATAAATATTAACAGCAAGATTTCGACATTCATCGCATAGCAATTAATTTTTAGAAAATAGTTCATTATTACTTACCTGGAGATTGAATTTTTATATGGGTTCCATCAACGCATCCAATAACTCTGGGAAACAAAGCCTGTTGGTAAAACTGCTGTGGTACATTAACAAGTTCAGCATTACTGGGCATTTTTATATACCTATCAGATAAAGTGCATAGTGCTTCTGATACTCTAAGAATTATTCTTGAGGCTGTAGAAACATGCCTGCCCATGAAATCTGCGACACTAGTTATATGTCCAGCGCTGGCATAATATCGCATACATGTCAACAGTTGGTTTATTGGAGAAATGCTGTTATTTCTAGAAACAAATTTTGTACTTTATATATAGACTTGGACAATTAGATAATACGGTACCGAGAGAAATTCAAGCGAAAGTAGCTAAATACATACTTACAAATCGTTCGGAAACTCAAGGAGAGATTCTATTTCGTATAATAAATTTAAAACTGTAGGTTTTGTCAAGCGAAATTTTCTGAAAAAGGACAAGTTGTCCAAATTCAGATAAGGCTCTGCTCTATCATAAATCCTTCTTGGATACCCATATTCAATAATCTCCAAAAAATCTAAATCGTCATTGAGTAAAAGGTCATGAAGATCCATTTGGAGACGAAGTTGAACGAAAAGTAGCAAATATCTTCGTAAATAAATCACAACGAATCACACAGTACCCGAACGGTTTGTTCAATTTCCCGTTTATTTATTTAATTTAAAATAAATATCAAAATGTTTTATACACTTTTATTTAATTTATGAAATAAATTTCTTACTTATTAA